GAAGAAAATTTCTAACCATTTTCTCTGTATAATTCTACATGCTCGAATTTTTCTACCGATTTCTCTTGCACGCTTAACCTTCTTGATAGCATTGGACATCCATAATTCATATCGATGCAATGCATACTCATTATCGAAATTATATTCTGAAGTAGATTTTTGCTTGATTTTCAAGTACTCATCATAATTTACTCCACAAAAGGAATTTCCAGCACAATGAGAGGCCCAATGTTTTTCCATTCCAATATGATTATAGATATTTTTGGTTCGTTTTCCGGTATATACTAATTGATTACAAGAGAAGCAGATAGCAATACCAATTTCAGGCGCATAGCTTTTATAAAACCCATTAATCTCAGACCAGGATGTTATTAATTTTCTGGCTTCAAAGTATCTTTTGTTAGGTAGGAGATTATTCTCTCTGAAATATTGTAAACGGGGCCAAATTCGATTCATCCACTCACTGGGAGTTTCATTATCACGAATTTGTGGCATCTTACAATATTCATCCCATTCAGCATCGGTACAATCAGTTCCACGTCTTTCACTTAAACTAGCCATTGTATATAACCAAATTATAGTATTTTTAGAAGTTTATATCGAATTTAAGGATTTAGACCTATTAGATTTAATAACTTTATACTCTAGAATAACTGGATTCAATTTTAGTCCAGATGCTCGAAGAGCGCCCCATAGGGCCTGGATCCTCGAACCATCTCTTCAAGAGTGTTATATTCGCCATATTTTGTGGGGGTATTTGTGATGAGAATGAGTGAGATATATAGGTATAAATATAGTTTGTATCATTGTTCGTAATTTGAGGGATAAACATATCACAATTCATTTTTTGTTCGATATAATGATAGAACCAGGTTTATTTTTCGTGAAGAAAAAAATAATGATTCATATAATTATTTGAGTCTTTGTTCCACAAGATTATTTCTGTGACACCACTAAATTATTTTCTCACTATATATATATATGAATTAATTAATAAAGCCTTTTCCTTACTGTAGATAGCTTTTCCGATAAGAAAAAAATACAAATGGGACCCAAAAAGGGTATGAATGAGGAGAGTTTATTGTTCTTTATCAGTAATAATATCAAAATTCATATGTTACGGAACTTGAGATCTTCCCCATTCCGAGATCGCCAAAATTTGTCTTATTTTACACTTTGAATGAGAGATCGCCAGACTGGAAGGTTTAATTCCCCCATAAATGACGAAATATACTTTCCTCTTGGCGCTTGTGATTCTAATAGACCTGCCTTATGAAGAAAAGATCCGTCAGGTAACGTAATTACTAATATTTTTTCTTCTAACAGGTGATGCAAAGCATCGAGTCTTCGATTCTTCTCGGGTAACAAATGAAACTATAAATAAACTGGGTTTATGAGGTGAGTTTTTTCCTTACATTTTTTTAACGAAAACATTCTACAATGAACGGATATATTGAAGTTTCATTTGGTAAATAAATTCTTTTATTAATTTTGTTTATGTATGGAATTCACGGACATAATCCAATAAAATAATGTCAATTTTCTATAGTGGGACTGGATAATATTTATCTCGCTATTCACGATGAGGGCGGTAAAAAATTCGACAAGGGAAGGTTAAATCAAGGAGAACCTCCTACTACATTGTAAGTTGCATGATTTCTCTATTTTTTTGGAAGCTGTTTTTGTTTTTCATATATACCTCATTTTCACCGCTCTACATGATTATAGGGATATTCAAAAAAATGATTCGTATCTAATGGTCAATAACGAAAAAAAAATACCTCTTGGTAATATCATCAATAATCCGGGACAACCAGAGAATCATACAGCAGGAGGGTTAAGATTAAGATTAGTATTCATTAATTCCGAACCAGGAACCTACCAAGGAAATGCAGGTGGTGGTAGCATCCGGAGAGAATAGCAGAGCTAGTGTCAAAGACACATAATATATATGTTTTATATATATAATAAAATATTTTGTGCCTTTTTTTGGGTGCTATAGTTTTATAATTCATCAGTCACACGATATTGTCCCATGTAATGAGAATGTTTTTGCATCTAAGCTACAAGAACTGCTAAAATATTCGAATCATATGTCGAACCAAGTTGGCCTGATCCCACAACGCAATTTATCCGTGCATTCCATGCATTTAAAATAGTTAAAAAAATCACGTGCGCGTGAACATTCTTCACGCCGATCACTTTGCTAGAAAAAAAATTTGAATGTGTCTCAATACTTTGATACTACGTCATTATACATAAGATATGTCTCGCAAATCTAGAAACAATAGACGAAAGACGAAAGACAAGTTCACTACAAATCCTACGCAATATTTACAATTTAAGAACCGGGATAAATATATACACGGGAACATATGATTATAAATAGAAATACCCAAGCGGTATTCGACTATGAAGAGGTATGTAGATAAATGGTATTGATTCAGACATTCTCAATATGTATAACTTATTTTTTATAACGTATACTAAAATACATGGTAAATACAAAAGATGTTGATATAGTTTATTCTTCGTCGGATACTGTTGAGCTATTTTTCTTTCGCCTTTCTGATCTAGGTATAGATCCATAAGATAGTTGAGGTATATTATATTCCGTAAAATTAGCAACGTCTCGACGAATTTGGTTACAGCATCCACATCTGCTAACTCAACAGGAATTTCTGCCGATGTGTTTTACCATTGGTTCCGCCTGCCAAGTTTACATGGGTATCTGCCTAATGCACAAAGTGCACTTTCTTCGAAAGATATCTCAGCTTCTTATGAGAGAAGAGTTTCTATGCAAACAGAAAAATTATACTATTCTGTCAAAACCTCTACAATCATTATTAAGATAGTAATCTGGGTTCTCCATCTGTTTTATCATTTCGTTCCAAGGCTACCATTGACTAGTCTGTGTCTTGACAAGTCTATAACACGATCATACAATCTATATTTTAACAGGTTCTTTTTTGGATTCTACCCAGAGTTTAGGACCATCAGAATGCCAAAATAATCATCTTGCCTTATAGTTGATTTAGCCATAACCACCAGAACGATTTACTTTACGAGAGTTATGCAAAAATTCAGCATATCTATATTATCATATAATGTAATCAAACTTTGCGAAGTGACTGAAATTTAAAAATTAGCAATCGTGCAGACATAAAACTTTGTTAATGATGAAATTACTATCAAGAATTATATTATTGTTGTAAGCATAATGCAATAAAAAGTATTATACATATGCTATTTAGAATATTTTAAAGCATCATAAGCCCTCGAAACTTTAGAGGGTGATGCATCCACAGGCGATTCATTTATGCAAACATGAGTTTTAGTAAAAGGAATGATTTTCTGCATTACTAGATAATAGTCCATTATTCGACTCTGTCATACCAAAAACAAAGTAAGCATGTGAATACATAAAAACAAATGCATCAAAAGCTGTCAAAATTTATACCTTAAATAAATAAACATTTTCGATGACTTCTCTCAAGATATACAATTGATCCTTAGTACTTGGTATACTAAATTCTTTTATAATATCAACAACGTGTAAACCTCCATTTGTTTGATGCATTACATAAAATGTAAACATTCGTTCTAAGATTGATAAAAAGAATAAGGATCAATAAAATATATGGCCCTAAATCTATGTTACTTACGGTAGACAATAATTCCGTATGACTCTATAGAAGATACTTGTTGTTCTGTTGCTCCACGTGATAAATAGTGTTGACGTTGGTAATAAATGGAAATTTGCATACACTTAAACACTTTTTCGGTGTCTTCATTTAATTTTTTGACATCAGTATAAAGAGCGTTGCCGATAACTTCTAAGAATCCTACTTCCAAAATAATAGCATTTACATTTATTGAGTATATCCCGTCCTGAGAACACCCAATGCTAACCCGTTGCCGATATTGTCGAGTTTCGTTTCTTTGAGCTTTGTTTGATTTGTTTTCTACCTCCCCCCTATGCAAAAGACAACCTGTTGGTCACCAAAGGCATAAATAATAAATAGAAATTTTTCTTAATTTAAAACTTACGTTTTTACTTTGACTAAATCCATAATGTCGTCGAAAGCTTTGACAATTATAGGATTCACAAAATTTTCTCGGTAAGAAAGTTCGTTTTGATCTGGATCCTGTAGTAAGTTAGTGGGTGCATTGAAAAGAAATAGACTAAAAAATAAATAGTACAAACTTGAATTAAATGTCACAAATGGAAATAACACTAGTTACGAATATTTATACTCACAATCGTTTATAAATATCCTGTATCCATAAAAGATCATAATGTTCTTTGTGAATAAAAGTTCCAATATACGGTTTCTCAAGAACATTTTCGATAGTACCATCCAAGGAAATCACATCAAAAACAGATTTATTTTCCAAGTGGGTTTGGTACTTTTGTATAAGAGGCTGTAGAACATTTTCCCATTTATTTAGGCGAATCGTCTTTACTTTTCCTGACGGTTCTAACTATGAAGGGCAAGCAAAATTATTAAATTTTCAACATGAGATGTTAAACTTACAAGCAAACAATACAATACCGAGTTCCAAATATCTTTTAAGATGCGCTTTTCGGATTTTGACAACTTATTAACGGGATTTGTAACATTTCGTTCTGAAAGATTAATGATTCGATAATCAAATAGACGATATTCTATAGATCTTATTTTTTCGACTATTTTACGGATTTCCTCCATTACATTCTGTAAAGTCTGTGAAGATAGAACATAGGTCAGATAAGGTATGCTGTAATCTTAAAATTATGCAAATAAGCATTGTTACCTCCTGAGATAAATGGATGCTTTTTAGATAGATATCTTCTTCAGCATTATCGTTAATGTTATCATCATAAATCTCTTTATAAATTCGCCCATCATTCGAATCTGAGAACTCTTGAACATGTGATTTTTCATTATCGCACTGTTATGGTTCATCCTTGTGTTATGACACGTCAAAATGGCTTATAAAGGACATTATTGCGAATTAGAATATAATTACCTCCTGGATCCAAGGGGGATGAAAGCATTTGACGAAGCACCTAACGAATAGATTTGATCTGGAGGAGGATGTGGTGGTTGGTCCATTTTTTTCCGTTTCGTTTGGACCCGTTCATCAGTCTGAATGAAACGTTCATTCTTAATAATATAGAGAATACAATAATGAGTACACCGTCTTAGTCAGTATCATGCACAATTTTATCCATACCAGAGCTCCATCAATCCTTTTCATAATGCCAGTTGCTGTCCCAACCTGTAGGAGAAATGATGCAGTTAACAGTTATGTATATAACCTCTTTGAATCAAATAACAGAAAATGTTGCAAACCTTGGCTAACCGCATCTCCCTCTCTCTCATTTCAATTTCAGCATGAAAATCTAATTGTAACTCGATCTTGTCCCAGAATAACTTTGAATCCATATCATTTGTACGATGACCCTTTCAATACACAAATAGAAGATTATTAGCCTTGGCCACAAAGTAAGAGGTCTTTTAATGTTAATATTATATGTGGACCACAGCGAACATGAAGATCATCAGGAGAATAGCGCGAAGATATTCTCCATAGCTATGTGAGTTTATCACCTCCATAAAAGTTCTATGACGAACACGAAGATCATCAAAGAGACGGCACGAAGACTTCTCTTTTAGTCATAGAAGTTTACAGAGACTCAACTACGACGAACACGAAGATCATCAAAGAGACGGCACGAAGACTTCTCTTCTAGTCGTAGAGAGTGCTCTAAACCGTTTTTAAGGCCCTCAGCAACAAACATTACGTACCTTGAAATTTTTATCCAATAGAGTAGCATAATTCTTGACTTCTGATGAGCCTTCTTTCATAAGATAATCGAGAGATCTCCTAAGTATAAAAGCTTCCTTCCGAAACGAGCTGGTAAAGTCATTTTCTTGCTGGCGATACTTGTAAAACTCGGAAAATTTCCATTCTTCAGGTGATATATTGATAAAATATGAGCTGACTTTAATTCCTGCCATCAAAGCTATGGTGTTGCAGTTTAGAGAGTTTATGAGTAGCAAGAGAATTTTTTATAATCAAAAAGGGTACATGATCATGTGTTGTACACATTGAAATTCTAAAAATAATTTTTCATTGCACAGCCCCATTGACACGATTAAATCATTTGGAAATTTATATGCAATTGGTTAATCAAACTTTATTTATATGATATAAAAAATTGCCAAAGTTGTAGACCGTGACCCAATGTCACGATTGCCTTATAACATCACATAATTAAAGAAAATTTAAGTTCCAGTATCCTTTCTAACCTGAGATGCTACATATTTGATATTGTCCAAACTTAAATTCGAAATAGATGATGCCGTAAATGTTTTTATTCGTTGGATATATACCATCCGTTGATTTTTATCATCATTAATACGGAAAAAAAGGTCATAAACCTTTCGAGCTCTTTCCGTTTTCTTTCGAATTGTAGGTTTGGAAATCTCCTTTGGGAGCTGATCTCTAACTTCATTATTAATCTTTTTCTGGGCTTCGTGTTCTGGCAGATCTTTATACTGGGTAAGACGTTTTTCTAATTCCTCCCCAAAGTAGTAATAACTTCTTATTAGTTCGTGACGCGCATTATCATTTTGTTTTTCAGCATTAGAAATTTTTAAGTACAAATCGAAAAAAATCTTATTCTCGCTTCCTCGTGTGGATTCTCTTTGGAGTGCTTCCCTTTCCTTAACTTCAGAAATTCGTGGGATATCTGTGATCAATTCCTGGATAAGCCTTTTTAATATGCGAGAATCCTCGTCCTTAACCTGTTTCTTAACTTTTTTACTGGATGATTTTTCGGTGGAATCACTAGCCCGCTTTTTACTACTAAGATTGGGAGAGTTTTTGATTGGAGTATCTACCGATCCATCCGCATCATCATCCGCATCATCCATTTCCTCATCTTCTTGGATTACTTCTGTATTGAGATTACTCATCCTCCTAACTATCGATGAAGTACTTGACTGAGATGATTGTTGAGAAAACCTTCGTTCAGAGACCATGGGCTCGACAGATTTATTACAACCAGGAATAGGACATATATTTGAATCTGTAAGTGAAATTTTTTTCTCAATACAATATCTATGGTATGTGTGTCCACATGCGAGGATTGTAAATGGTTCATAGCTAACTGTTAAAATTTTTTTATCACATTCCGAGCATGGTGCTAGTTCAGTAACATCGATATTTTGGACAATTGTATGGTTGGTTTCTTTTAAAATATTCAGCGCGAAGATTTGGAGGTTAGAAAGAGACATGATAACAGTTTTATAATAAATCTTTATGGCAAATACACATTGTTTTATAATACTAGTAGTTTCAATGGATCATTCTGTTAAAGATGCAAAACACTACAATCGATAAATTAGTAATTTATTCTCTATGGGCGATCTCAGACGATTTTCCTACAACATCATACATTAATTAAACGTTTCTATGGGCGATCCGTTACCTTTACCAATCATAATATTTGCATAATTTCTCTGATAGGTAGGCCCTCATTCGATGTCAAAAAATAAGCTCAATACACACCAAAGAAATGGTATTCGTGGAATCATGAATTTTTTTCTTGCAAAAGTGATCGGTGTGAAGAATCTTCACGCGCACATGATTTTTTTATTTTGAATAAATCTATGCCTTTTATTATATAAAAAAATTATTATCGATCATGCAATCCGAATTAGATTTATTAAGACAAGAGAATGCCAAACTTGTGGCTAGAATTACAGAATTAGAACAGACTGCAAAAGAAAAATATGAGCTCGAGATTAGAATTGCCGAATTGGAACATGCTATGGAAGAAAGTGTCAGACGTGAAGCTGAAAATGTTGAGCTTAAAGCCAAAGTAATGAAATTAAGTCACGATTTTGAGGAGCTCAAACAGCAAACTCAAGTCATTACTAATATGCAAGAGATGTCTTCTATTGGTAGAGCCAGCACAACTGAAAATATCTCACCTAATTCATCACCTAACGAAGATCTCTCTAATGAGAGGAGTTTGCATAAC